ATATCCATTAATTAATTCAATTTCTGATAATCAAGAATTAAATAAATATTATATTACCAAAGCTAGCGCGTTCACTGCATTACTATTATACCAGAACTTAATCCACCTGCAGGGTTTAACATAACAATCTTTCATGAACTCACTTCGGGGACATCATCAAACTAACGCACATGGTGACCGTAATCAAGTGAATCAAAGTAATAAGTATTGCATGTGTATGTCTGTTTAATTTCTTATGGGTTAAGGAAATGCAGTAATTAATCGAGACTTAAGTTTTTGTACGACAATCAGTATATAACAAATTATTTCTCTCTGTGATCCTAATCGATACATAATTGTACTAGTGCAACTAATCAGTAAAGATAAACTGTACCGTTGACACTACAACCATTCTGATAGGGTGTTTATTTCCATCTATATTGTGAATCGTGAATTCTTATTTTGCAAGTAATTGATAAAATGATCTACTATCCATCTGTGACAAATCAATATTTTATCTAAGTGCAGAAGAACAGAATATAGAACTTGTTTAATCGAACATGATACTCATTCATCAAGGAAAAAGTGTAATATCATCCAAAACTAAGATTTTAGTATATAACACCAACAAAACCCCATACGACGAGTTGTAGAGGTGGAGAGGGGCAAAGGTGCGAACGAAGCGGATGACGTAGATCGGGTCGTCGGGCGGAGGCTGGACTGCGCCGGGCTGACGCGTTTTAGCAACTGACCGCCAATCAAACAAAGTTTATTAATTTATTTGTTTATTATATAATTAATTTAGGTATAATGATTAACATTGTTATTATTTGATTAGTATATTCTAATTGATTATGACGAGTCTTTGATCTTAACAAATAAATTGTTAAAATGAGTCTCATGCACTCATTTTAGGAAGTGCACCCATTGGGTCCACGAATATAATATATATATATATATAAAGTATCTAAGGTTATTCTTAATCTACTAGTTTTAATATTTTTCCCCAAAACAATAGAGATATTATATAACTAAAGACCGCACAAAGTGCGAAGATAAAACAGCCTAAAGTTAAAAAGTACAACCGAATGCTGAAAAGACTGGATGACAGATCCGAAGATCGCCTAGAGCCTGATCTAGCAACGCTAGAATAACAAACTCGCAACCACACAAAATTAACTACACAAATACTAACGAAAAAACTACTAGAACGATCCCAACATGATAGTGCTGGGATGTAAGATCCTAACAGGATAATAAGTTCACATTCGGCGCACAGAGGCCAACAGCCTAAACCAAAAACACAATCCTAAACAACACAATCACAAACAACAAAGAAACAGACTAAGACAAGAGGACCTAAACTACGAACAAACAAAGCCCTTCCCACAGAAGAAACATCAATCCCAGCATAAGGAACCAGTAGAATCACGTGCAATCTCCCCCAAAGACTGAACCGTAGTCCTGAAATCAGCTCCCGAAGCTGCCGAAACGTCTAGCTGAAGCCGAAATTCAAGGCTCCGGAAAACTCCAAGAAGTGAGCCTGACCCACCGTGGAGGAGATCGATCACCCCCCTCCCCACACACACACACACACCAACTTCCGGAGACCTGACTGGTTAACATATATGGTCAATATTTATATTAAATTGTAGCTCATCTTTATCAAATTGACCACCTTAATTTTACAAGTATGCTCAGCCAGTACAAGAAAATGATGAAATTCTAACTAAAATATATTATGTTAGAATTCCAACGGCAATTCCAATGGTTGTTTAAATGCTATTATTTCCGTTTGAAATTATTCCTACAGAAATTTCAACAAAAATATTTCATTAGAATGAGTTTTCATTGGAATTTACGTTGGATTTTCACGATTCCAACGGTAGTGGAAATAAAAATTATAACAGAAATTGCATATTCCAATGAAAATTATTACGGTCAAAAGCCGCTGGAAATATCTCCGTTGGAATCATCAACTTTCATCTAAAATCTCAATGAAAAATACATTCCAATGTTATATTTTCGTTGGAATTTCTGTTGGAATACTTCCAATGGAACCTAATACCATTGGAATATCCGTTGGAATTTTCATTGTAATATATGACCATAAGATTTTTCATTGTAATATATAATTATTTTTTTTAGTGAGGATAATAATTAACATTATATTAAATAATATTATTTTATATGTATTAAATTTTAAAAGATTTTTAAGCATATGTGTAAAAAAGCAAAGAGCACTGTTATCATTCATAGAGAGTATGCGGTTTTGCTATGGAACTAACAGTTGGCACTATAGTGGAACCAACCTTCTATATACGACAAATTAATATACCATATTCTTTAATTACTTAAATAACATTAATATAATTCTATTGATATGGTAGGTTTATTTGTCGTATATAGAATATTGGCTCCACTATAGAGCCAACTATTGACTTTATAGCAAAACCGATATCGCTTGTACACAAGACAAGTTTGGTTCTCCAATTTATAAAAGACTACTAAGCATTAATGACTATAAAGCAAACTCAATTAATAGGACCGAGGGCAGGTTAATAAACATTAATCACGGGGATAAAAACTCAATTATTTATTTTAAAATTTTCTTGCAAATATTGTTTGTTTTAGCTATTTTGGTCAAAGACTATCTTTTTGTATAACTTCAATAGTGTAAATAAATCGGCATCTAAAATAGTTTTTTTTTTTTTTTTTTTTTTTTTGGGTACAACATCTAAAATAGTTTTAGCTATTTATGTAAGCTACTGGGTCATGTCCAATGGACTAGCTATATCTTGGGCTCTAAACGAGTCGATCGAGCTCGAGCTCGGCTCAATAAGTCTCGAGACTTAACGTACCTATCTCGAATTTTAATGATTCGAACTATGAAAAAATTATATAAAAATTCTATTTTCGCGCCTTAACGAGCCTTATCGTCGGCTCGTTAGCCAAACAAGCTTTAAATGAGCTCGAGCTCGACTCATTAATGCCTTGAACTCGAGCTTTAACGAGTCGAACCACACTTGTTTATTTTAACAACACTAGGTATATCTAACTAGCTAAATTGACAACTAAAACCATAATTCAAATGTCATTTTTTATGTATAGGTTCACCTATTTAAGATAGCTATTAATAATTAGAAAAGAAAAAAAAAATAAAACGCTTTTTTTTTTTATTTATTTTGTTTTATATTAAGCTTAATTTTTTTTTTTTTTTGAGAAATATATTAAGCTTAATTAATGCTTTAAATTATTAAATTACATATCCGTTACATATAGAGAATGCTTGGAGTGTGAGTTGAAAAACTTATAGTTAATTATTAGCTTTTAAGGTTTTAATAACTGGCTTAGATAATTAATTTTTAACTAGTATTATTGGATATACTAGTACAACACCCGTGTATTACACGGGTGCTTGCTAATTTTTGTGAAAATTTAAAATTAATGAGAAAAAATAGTTTGAAAATTTAAATACCTTTTATAAGAATATATATATTATTATATATTTATTATGATATTTTTTATTTGTGCGACTTACTTGTGTTATATTATATTAATTTTTTAACTTACAATATATAACTACATTAAATATAAATATATCAATTGAGAAATAATTTTATTTTTCTAATTAATTTTAATAAATATTATTATTTTTTATTATTATAAATATAAATATAATTTATTTATTTTATATATACAATATGGATGTCAAATCGAAGATCATCAAAAGATAACTAATTCGATATATTATATATGTAAAACCGATAAGAAATACAAAAGTTATCTACTTTTAAAATACATTTATATTTCAATAGCTTATTGAAGGAAGCAAATCAAAATTTAGGGATATATTAATCACTTAGTGCCTCATTATGTAAAATTACAAAGAATTAAAGGGTTATATTAGTAAAAGTGATATTAAAATACCTAATTTAGCTAAATAATATTTATGGAATACCCGAACCTAGATTATTAATTATTAATATATTAATATTATTTGTCCAAACCTAATTACGAAGCATGATTCTTCGCCAAATAGGATTTCGAAGCACCAGAAGCAGCCACGTAGGCTCAGCGCATTCGGAAATTATATATAGGGAGGATAATATTTATGGAATACCCGAACCTAGATTATTAATTATTAATATATTAATATTATTTGTCCAAACCTAATTACGAAGCATGATTCTTCGCCAAATAGGATTTCGAAGCACCAGAAGCAGCCACGTAGGCTCAGCGCATTCGGAAATTATATATAGGGAGGATGTAAAACAAATGTAGCCAAATTGCTATCATATTTTATTCAAATTAAAATATTAAGTAACCTTATTAATTTGTAATTTAAAATCAAATAATTGGACACTTCCAAATAGAGAATATACATAATTGACCTCATATTTTAACTTTTGCACCTTAAACTATCTAAAATAACTCAAATTTTAAAGAGCGTGGTAAACACGCTCTCACATTATAGTCAATTGTCATAATTAGAGAATAAAGTTATGTAAATCTGTTACAAGATTTTAATTTGAAATAAGTACCACCAATAACTTTTCATGCTCGTCTTTATTATAGACTAGCTTGCTCATAGAGAGAGCACTTCATGTTTTCTTACTCTTGTTTTCACTGAAAAATGAAGAATTATAGAGAGAAAAGAGTGATGGACTTCAACCAGTCAGTGCAGTTTTCATCCCCTTCAAGACAACCTTTGCATTTGCACGATTTTATGTCCGTACCATCATCTGCAGCACCTGCTAACAATCAGGTATATATTTATTGGGAGATGATACGATCCCGTTAGGGAATTATTCTGTCGGAGTTTGTAATAGATCATCATGTAACCGTCGGAGATGGTTGATCCAACAGTTACAAATCTCGATTGAATGGTTCCGTAACGGGACAGTAGCATTTCCCTTATTTATTTGCTCAGTATATACAAATTTGTTCAACCATCTTTCATAAAATTTATTTATTTATTTCTTTGTGCATATATAACATGAATTACGAATACGTGGCAGAGAGAAGAGAGCAGAAACACAAGTTTTATGAAAGAATTGGAGCACAGAATGCAGAAATTTTGGAAGGAGCAAATGGCTGAAGTGTACGAGTCCCCAAGTGGTATTTTAATTTTACTCTTCATACCTTCCTTGCATTGTTTCTTTCATTTTTTTTTCATTATTTTAGTAAATGAATTCATATTAATTGTTATATCAATGTTCATCAGTTTTGCTGGAAATTTTTTGAATTTTTCTTTTGTCTGTAAGTGGTGACCCAGCCAAAGGCGGATCTAGCTCATAAACTGAGTGAGAGCCTAATTTATTTATTTTTTTATTTATTTTTAATTATAATAACCAAAGTATAATAAAAATGTACATTTATATTTATTTTTTATGAATTTCTAATTGCATTTTAATTCTTCCTAATATTATTAGAATTCACCTCAAGTAAATTTAGACTAACACAATTTGAAATATTTTCACATGAACTTTTTTGTCGATACATTTTCTAAAAATATTTCTCCATAATTTGATATTGGAAAAATAAATTTTCATGTTCAGAATGCTTTATCTAATATATCAAACTTTTAAGAGGCCCACAAATTAAGTTATCAATACACACAAATTAAAATATATAATATTAGTTGATTAAATAATCTAAGGTACTACAATATTAACTAAAAGAATGCTAGAAATATGAAAAAGTCTTTATCTCTCCATTCAAATTCAAATTTAATAAAAGAAAAGGTAAGATTTACTTTCCTCCAAAATCAGGTATTTGTTTTACCATTATCTCCCTTGCTATTTATTTTGCATCCTAAAGGTTTTGTTTCATAATTATTAATTGTTTTTTACTAATAGGAGCTATTATTGTAAGTCCTAGTCATTGTAATTTTAAATTTTATGTGGGCCTTGGCCCACACTAAACTTCATGTAGAGCCTCCCCTGAACCCAGCGAACATTTAGTTAAAAACAGAGTAATGAATTAATTAATTGTCGCATTGGCATTTTTCTTAGGGAAATTTTCATCCATGCGGTAAGATATATAAATATTTTCAATTTTACCTTTATTTGAAAGTATTTACAACTATACCTAAAGAAACTAATTTATTTATTATATTGTATCAATATCAGTTACAATGTAACGTAACCACTCCAGCTGAAGGTCCCGTGATTTCCGTCATATCTACCAGGAGAAAAAAGAAAAAAAAATTGAGTTTATGTTAGTATATTTTGAGTTTATGTTAGTATATATTCCACTCAAGCAGTCGCCAGGTAGTATATTTTGAGTTTATGTTAGTATATATTCAGTGTATGTTGCAATATTATAATTCACGCAGCCGCCAGGTGGTATATTTTGAGTTTATGTTAGTACATATTGAGTATATGTGCAATAAAAAACAAGTCTTCCAGATAAAAGTTACTTCGGATATACTCGGATATACCCAAATATAACCCCAAGAAAAAAAGGAATTATTAAACAAATAACCAGAGAAAAGTTACTTCGGATATACTCGGATATACCCGAACCTCATGAATGTTTCAACTAAATAAATAAAAAAAATTGCAACTCTGCAAATGATAAATCTTGCGAATGAACACATCCACCACTTTGTAGCCCGGGTCAATTTTGTCTTGGCGACGGTGCCCTCATCCCCGCAGTCGTCGTAGCCCGGGTCAATTTTGTCCTCGGTTGTGTCCCAATTCTCTGCACATCCACGAATCCAGATTTCAACTCAAGGAATCGCACAGAAAAACACAAGATCTATACGAAAACGGATCTTCAGGAGCCCTAAAAGCACCGTGCATATAGACAATACCGACTCCGACCATGAGGCCCGACACGAGAACGGATCCGACGATGGTGAGGAAGATGACGGTGACGGTCGAGAAGATCAAGAAGAAGAGCGTCTCACCGTCGGAAAATTGACGGTCGAATAGGTTGATCAGCGGATCTGACGAAGACCATTGCTTCGATCTCTATCTTTCCAGATTTTTGCGTTGATCAGGGGATATGGAGCGGTTGTGCAGATTCATATGAGTTTTGGTTTGTTTTGTGGAAGAATTTTACGGAGACGGGCACTTGATCTTAAAACTGGTGAAACGCCGACACCATTTGCCGGATTTTTCCGATGAGGAAGAGTGATTTTGGTTTTCGCCATTGAGAATTGAAATCGCCCAAAGTTGTGGAAAGGATTTACAGAATGAAGTGGTAAGTGGGGCGGTGGGGTGGTTTGGGGGAAACTTACCTTTTAGTTACCTATTTTTTTGGTAAGTGATATGTAATTTGCCGTAATTATCTCACTAACATTAAAAAAATGGTTATAGGTATAAGTGAAAATCTTTTAGGTTGTTTAGGTAATTGTAAAAATAAATATATAATAAATACAAAACTGTTATTTATTTTAAGTTTAAAAGTATAACATGCAATTTCCTCTTTTTCTTAATTTTCATTTGATACTTATTGCACCAAATCCTTTTATATTATATGAAATCTGCACGTTTCTCTTGGTATTTAAGAAATTGCATCAAATCTCCTTGTATTTAATGTCTGTATGCACATTCGTCATGTATGTTAACACGATTACTTTAATACGGGTTATTTTTCTATTGAATTTATCATTATAACCTTACTTTATTATTGAATTTACCATTATGCTTTTACTGTGACTTAAAATAATATCGGGGATTGACGGCGTTACATTTTTGTTGAATTTATCATTACATCCTTACTTTGTTATTGAATTTACCATTATACTCTCATTGTAACTTAAAAATAAAATCTCAGTAATGGGGATGGGGATTGACGACGTTACTTTTTCGTTGAATTTATCATTTACGCTTAATTTATCAATGAATTTATCATTATACCATTATTATGACTTAAAAATAATTAATAGTGGGGATTGAACCCACAACTTTGGGTTAAGAAACAAATCTCAACAGCTGGGCTACTTGACATTTAATTATTAATGTGATTTTATCTATTTAATATTTATATCATAATATATAACAAAAATAATATAATAATTAGGTATATAGATTCTAAATTATAAATTATATAATAATTAAGTATATAGATTCTAAATAATATAATAATTAAGTAAATATATTATAAATTATAAATAATATAATAATTTGGTATATATATTCTATATTATTATTACTAGTACAACACCGTGTATTACACGGGTGCTTGCTAAATTTTTATCTTAAAATTTAAAATTAATGAGAAAAAAATGGTTGAAAATTTAAATCCTTTTTATAAAAACATATATATATATATATATATTAAATATTTTATTATAACACTTGTTACTTGTGCGACTTACATGTGTCATATTATAATAATTTTTTTAACTTATAACATATAACTACATTAAACATAAATATATAAATAAAAAATAATTTTATTTTTTAATTAATTTTAATATATAATTTTATTATTATTATAAAGATAATATTATTTGCTTATTATATATATACAACATGGATGTCAAATCGAAGCTCATCAAAAGACGATTAATTATATATATAATATATGTAAAACCGATAAAAAATACAAAAGTTATCAACTTTTAAAATACATATACAATTCAATGGTTATAATAGGAAATGATATTATAATACAATTAATACATCTAAAATGATCATAATAAATCAACATATTTATGGTAATCTGAACCTAATTATTTTGGGATTAAAATTTATCTGAGCCAACCAATGAAGCATGAAATTTTGACACCTAGGATCTCGAAGCATACGAGCCTGCCACTTAGGCTCAGCGCATTCGGGAATTATATATAGGGAGGATAATGATTAATCAAACATATTCTAAATTATAAATAATATAATGATTTTTTTTTTATTTTTTTTTTGCCAAAACGATAGGGGAACTATTATAAATCAAAAGCGCACAAATGTACGAATAAAGATACAACGCTCCCAACGGGAGAATAAAATGGGAGGACAGGTCAGAAGACCGCCTAGATCCCCCCTAGCAACGCTAGAATAAAACTCGCAAACTAAACTGACCAACTACGACAACTAAAACAACTAAACAACTAAAAAGACCCCAACAGGGTAATACCCGAGTGTCGGATCCCACCAGGATAATAAATTTGACACTCGGGCGCACAAAGGCAACTGCCCAAACCTAAAACACATAAACAACACAAACACAGAAACACTAAACACTAAAAAAACAAACACTAATAAAAAAAAGCACATATAGCCCTTCCACAGCAGACTAACATGCCCAACCAGCAGTGAACGATCTGCACAAGAACGAATCCAGGCCCCGGAAATCGCTACCGAAACTGCACTAATGCCTATACAATAGCCATAGCCGAACCCCGAACCAATCCCCGAACCGACCCGTTGCCAACCGAGAAGACCATCCTCCAAACCAGCTACACCCGAGCCCTTCTAACACCACTAGCCGAGCTCAAATGAACCAGTCACCTGCCGCCTAAGACCACTAGCCGAACAGGGGAAGAGGAAGGCTCAGTCCCGCAACCCCGACCACCGCGACTGGAAGCCGCAGTAGTCTGAGGTCCCGCGCCACCCTGAGACTCACTCTCCATTTGACATCTCCACCGACCGCCGACGAACAGAGGCCCACGCCCCC